ATAATAAGAAAAGATTGAAAATATCATTAGAAAGCGAAATTAATAAATATTTGTCTTATTATCTAAGTTTCTGTCGCTTCCAGTATCAGTTTTGCAAACTTTTTGTTTTTTTCTCACCTTTTCCAATTAGTACTGGAAATCTGGAAATTACTTACTTTTATTTTTGTTGTTGGGATTATTTTTGTCTAATCTTTCAGTTGAAAATTTCAACTTGTTTCTTCATCTTCTTCACCACTTATCACCTGTTTATCGGCCAACACTTTGCCGCTTGTCAGCTGTCAACACTTGACCAAGAAACCGGTCGGTATTAACCCACTTTGGGCGAGCAAACGTGTTCCATCAGAAAGGCAGAACATTTAAAAGTAGAAACCGTTTAAGAAATTATAATTCATTTGCAGCGTTAGATCGAGGAGTGTCTTAATTGTTTTATGCACTAAAGTACTCGCAGCCATTTTCAAAATTTTTAAAGAAAATTTTTCTAATTTCCTAGATTTTTCTCGAAATTTTTTATTTTTTTCGCTATTTTTAAATTCATTACAATGTTTTTTCACCTTAACTTACTTACTACATTTTCTACCAATGCCTTCGTATTCTCTGCTTGAACTCACAAATACTTCTCTATGCAAATTTCGAAACAAGCGAGTATAAGCAAGTACTAGAGAATTTCACGCCCGCTAATGTTTTTGGCAGCGCCAACGAAGACAGCCATAAATAACAGTGGCAAAACTAACATAACAACAACTAATGGTAGCAGCACAGCACCAGCATTGCGGATATCTGCATGCCTGAATGTGTTTTTGGGAAAAAGCGAAGAAAATGCTAACATTTTTTAAAAACAACATTAGATATGCACAACAGCGCTTTTTGTTGTTGTTGATGTTGTTTTTGTCGATAGCGTTGTATCACCATCCTCCATTTGCCCTTACTTCGTGCTTTACATATCTACTTCAATCCAAATGTCTGTTTTGCACTAAGAGCAGTCGAAACACGAGCAAAAATGTCTTGCCCTCAGCGTGCACTCCGCACAGAAGACTTAAGCAACGAACTCGATGGGGTGTTCGTGTTGCTTGTACCCATAAACAATGTCAAAATGCGGCGGGTAAAAGTGTTTTTGCTGCACGATGCGACGACTCATAGTGCCATTAGCAAGTGGCATAGTCCAAAAGCTGCAATGCAACAACAATAACAACAATAACGACAACAACTGCAGTGAGCGATAAGCCGTGAAGATTAGAGAAGGAAAGTGAGCTGTGCTGGGCATCTAAAGAGTGGAAATTTTTGAAAATGATTGTAAAAAAGTTAGTAACTCTAAGTATTTTTTCTTAACCCTCAAGCGGTCGCGCGAAATATGTTTTCGTATATAATTTTTTAATGGTTTTTTTTCTGAATTTCAGTTATTTGTTTTCGACTTTTTTGAGTCTATACACAATGCTAATTTATCTCAAAAAAATAAACAATTATAAGTTAATTAGTTTTTTATTTCTCTTTGATATCCGATAGGTCATTTCGATTACGCGCGACCGCTTGAGGGTTAAATGAACTTAGGAGTATTTAGTTAAAAAATGAGTATAAAAAATTTAAAATAAATTCAGTTAAATTGAAAATATATGAAAAAAACTTCGAAATAAAATCACGATGAATGATTTTTTTTTTTCAGAAAAAATTTTATAAATAATTAAAAATAAATTTATTATCAGCAAAAATCAAAAGTATTTTTAGAATACTACAAAATTTTCAATGCACGTTGTATGTATGTATGCTGTACATATTTGATTTAGATGTTGGTGGAACACATATGTAGAATTGTACAAAGATATGATTTTTTAGTAAATTCTTTCTCTTGTTTATTGGAAATATAAAAAATATCTTTCTCTCTTTCCACCATCAACATTCTTCTGCCACTCTGCCACACGGTCCATTCAACTCCTGCTACATTTGCACCGAAGCATAACTTTTATTTATGCTCGCTTGTTGCTCTGTATGTCCGTTCGTCCGTCCGTCCGTCCGTTCGACTACTTTATGCTTCATTGGTGTCATAAACAACGCTGTGGCTTGTTAAAATATTTCTAACAACAACGGAAACAACAGCAAAAGCAAATCGAATAAAAAACATCTTCTTGTAAAAACAATAGCAACAACCAGAAACTCTACGGCGAAAAGCCACATTTGTGAGCAGAATGCGCGCGCTCCGTTGGGCAACAATGGTCGATACTTTCACATGTAGGTGTGTATGTGTTGGGTGCTTGCTCTTTCTTCTTTTTTTTTGATACCTAAATTTGCTACATTTATCGCTTTGCAACATACCGCTTGTGGTTGATGAGTTATTGTTGTTGTTGCCACAAGCAAGTTGTTGACCATTGTTCACTGTCTCTAATACGATTATGCTCATTTTTCTCACTGCTAAGGAAGGAATTTTTTTATATCGATATTTTATGCATTTACATGTGCATATATTGTTGTTGTGACAGGGAACGTTGCGTTTTTATTAGTTTTCCTACGGAATTTCGCAACACAAATTTTTGGAATTTCGAAATTGTGATTAAATTCAATTGAAAAGCAATTTAAATAAAAAATTTCAAATGTTAAATTTTAATTTAAAAATATCGAAAATTTTAACTAAAAATTTAAAAAAAAAATCTGAAAATATTTATAAGAAAATTTCTGTATTTATTGTTATTTTTATTTCTTACTTTCTTCTTACCATGTCAATTGATTTTAGGAACTAATTTTCCCAAACATATCCAGTTAATTTCTTAAAATTATTTAATATTCTATAATTTTATTTCACAAAAGTTCATTTAATGTTGTTTTTTATTTTTTTTTTCTTATTTGCTCTTCATTAGCTTTTCAAGAAATTTTTTTAAAAAAAATTCCATGAAAGTGATTTGAGTTACTTGTTGTGCTCCTTCAGACAGACAAAGGCTCCAACAACATATCAAACACACAAAATATACAAAAATTACTCAGCAACAGTTGTTGTTGTTTTTTTCGGTACTAATTCTTAGTTTTTCTCGTTTTTTGCCATTAAGGAAGTCATCTCCTACGGTTGAAGATAAGCCGTCTCATTCCGGGAAATCGCCTCTTCGCCTATCTACCGACGGTTTTCATTGCAATATTTCCGCTGACCTCAGGCTGAACTCTCGCGCAACAAATGAAGATGCTCCACTGAGCTCGGCGATGCGCACAATTCAGAACTCCTCAACACACAAAGTAACTTCGCTGTCAGCTTTCAACTCCCTGTGCATTTGCGTTGATTTGTGAGATTATTGCATATAAACATTTTCCATTTTTTCCATTTTCACTGCGCTCTGTGGTTCATTGAACCGCTCACAGCCCGTAAACCCGCAGAACCGCGGATCTGCAGGTCCGCAGACCAGCAACTCACTGCAGTCCGGCTAAGAGGTACTAAATGCTGGAAGTATCACTTGTACTTGCCGAGTTGCAACGCGGAAAAAACATAATAAAAAACAGCAGTAGAAGAAGAGGAAGCAGATGCACAGAAACTGCAGCAAACAGCAGCTAAATATTTTATACTCGCTTTTTTGTTGTTTTCGCCACACTCGCCTTGCAAACTTATTTACTATTCCAAGGAATTTCGTGCACTTTGAGGGCAAAAGGGGGTATGGAACCTTAATGTTTGTTGTGTTTGTATGTGTGTGTATGTGTGTGTGTAATAGCAGTAAGAGCTGGCCTCACCCACCACCAACTACAGCAACAACAAGTGCATCATTCGTTCTTAATCTGCTGTCTTCCTTGCTGGCCTCTGAGTCTTCGAGTACATTGGCGAGGGTCTCTGAATAGCCAAGACCTGTAACCCACCGTCCGTCCATGCGTCCGTGCATAGGCGCGCTGCAGCCCATTTACCCAGCATTAGATGAAAATCTTTTTGCATTGCACCGAGGAAAAGCGTTAAGAATGGCAAATCACAAAAAACACGCCCTAACACTGCGAGGCATGCGCTGGTGAAGAAAACAGAAAAAGCGAATAAAAACATTAAATAAAACATTAAACAAAAAAGACAACGAAGATAAAAACAAAGTGAGAATGTAAGGCTTGTACTTGGTTAGTCAGCTCTTTCTCTTCTACTGGGTGAGGGAAAGAGCATGCGAGCGTTAGAGAGTAAATGTGTTTGTACCTTAGCTCTCTAAGGCTACTTTCGGTACTCATGGTGGCTTTGCTGTTGGTGCTGTTGCTGCTGGTGGCAAGCGATTAGATTTGGGGCGTGTTGACAATGCACGGTCAGCGCGAGATTTTTTCACAAAGAAATAAAAAAAGAAAAACCAAAACCAAAACAACATGGAAAGTGGAACTTTGTCGTAGAGAAGACAGGATGCGGTCGAGTGTTTGAAGGAAATTTTTTAGATTTTTTAGCTTTTGGTTTTCATTTCAGGAAAACTATATATATATTTATATAGAAATTACGCTTTTTAACCACTATAGCGGGCGACCTGCCTTTTCACCGTTGCTTTGAAATCGACGTACAGGGTGTATGTGGTCCTTTTTCAGGGCTTCTTCTCCACGATTTTAGGTTTCGTTTTTAGTAGAATTGTAGGTTTTCCATTGCCAAACGCCCCATCGATAAGATTTAATTAGCTCTTTAACGAGTTTCTCACACAGTACCCTTGATAGGACCCTAAATGCGTTGTTGGTGTTAATGCTTGGGTTCTCCTTTCTGAATTGCGCAAGGCGTGCTTAGGTCCATACTCAGCCTTTTTTCACTTAAGTGCGGCGCGGCACGGCATGCCCACTCTGGCGTTAAGCTTGCCAAACATCGTAGCGGAAGCAACGCTGATAATTACGCTTCAGACGCTTATAAAAGACACAAATTCCTAATATTTAATCAAAATCTGCTTAAAAATATATTAGATGCAAAGAAAATAATTTAAATATTATAAAAATATTTGTCTCAAAATTTCTTCTGATTAATAAATATTTAATCTAATTTAAGTGAAAAAGTATATTTTATAAATTTCAATAAATTCATTTTCCCTCTCTTCCAGTTCACCTACCGATAGTCGTTGCGCTACTGTGACTGCTGCAATAAAAAATATTAACAAAATAAAGGTAAGTTGAATAAATAATCACATTTTATATGAAAATGTCACCAGAGAATGGAGTATTTTTCCAAATTTGTTTGCATAAAATATTTTCCATAAATGTTTTATACTTTTCTGCTTCTAAATTTGCATGGCCAATACTCAAGACAAACAGAATCATGCATAACTGCAAACACACATACATATGTACATATATATATCTATATAACTATGCATTTATGCTCCTTCCGCTTGATTAAAAAAGAGAAAGCGTCTGTGCTTTATCTCTCTTTCTGCGCCACAGCCAAAGCCAGCCAGCAGGCATGACATGAATCGCATTAAATGGCGGGAAAATGTATAAAAAACATTAGATTATTTATTAGAGCATGAAATGAAGCTTGATTGCTTTTTTTTTACTTAAGTAGCAGAGAATTATAGTAGATTTCAATTTTAAGATTTAGCAGGGGGAATTGAAAACAATTTTTGGGATTGAGAAGAAAAAGCATATGAAAATATACAGAAAAGAAAATAATTAAATAAATGTAAATAAATAATCATTTTTATTGTTTTTTAAGTTAGCGAAATTCTTTCAAAAGAAAACCCTTAATTATTGATAGAAAAATTGTAGGTTAATTTCCAGAAAAATTATTTAATATAACTAGTGATGATAAGCAATAACAATAAGTTTCCAATTTGGTGGTGAAAAAACGTTGCAAGGAACGAAAAAAATAACAAAAATTTTCTTTTACCCTGCAGATTTTTACTACAAATCTCGAAGTACAATATTTTGTTTCAAAATTGTTTTTTTAATGATAAAATAATAAAAAACCCGTATATATTTCATAAAAGTTTTAAATTATTAAAATGAAAAACAAAAAGGTTAAGGAATTGAACACAAAAATGAACCGAAATAATTTTTATTCTTAATCAAAATTTGACAGTGCTTTTATATTTGAAATTTTTTAAACAAAAACAGTAAATTAAAACTACCAATTTAAATGTCAACATTGATTTATTTAATTAATATCAATTCCAATGTCATTTTATTTAATAAAAGTGTTTTCTTTATAAAAGATAATTAAAAAATTTTTTGAAGGCAGCGACAGCATTTTTCCATCTCCCTCATAGTTTTTGGGTACCATCTATAACATATATATATCATCTAAAGTCACGATCCGATGACCCCCAACATTCTTTTGCATCCGACGAAGATGTGGAGAATACGACGGGGGAGTACCCCTCCCATTTCAGCGTTCATTGAAAATGTTAAATAGTTACGTAAAATTGTTAAAAAAAATTTAATATAGAGAATTCAATTATAAAACCAAAATTATTTATTGATAAAAGAAATTGTTAACATTTAAACAATTCCTATAAATTATGAAAAATATAAAAAAAAGAATTAATTTCGGATAATTATTTTTACCACTCTCTATAACTTTCCCGACCTTTTTCCATAGTCCGGTAACCTTTCTCCACTACAATATTAAAATATGCACGCTTTTCCACTAATTAGCGCCTCATTTAATTTCTCGCCAAACACGCGGCCAACAAAAGACTTAAGCAAGCAACTCGCTGGCAATGAATATGCGCAGAAATTAACTTTTCAGCACCTGCAAACGATTACTTTTCAACAATTTCAGCTCAATTCATTTTAAGCGATTATATGCTTTGAAAACACTACAGTGTCGACGCCAGAACCCGCCCGCACGCGTCTCATCACTCCAGCGCACCAGGTTTGAACAACAATTTCAGTTACTTGGCAAAATTTCACTATGCATTGGTGGCAACACTCACCTGTCACAGTGCAGCAATGACCATAAAAATGACAACAACAGCAACAGCAACAACAACAATGAAAACACCACTGAAAACACCAAACACTTAACATCCTCTTGACCCACTTTTACGCTTAGCTGACTTTTCAACGCCTGTCACTGGCATTTGTTGTTGTTACATATGTGTTTATGTGCTCTTGCTAGTGAGGCAGCCAGCTGCAGCTTATCGTTAAATATTTATACATATGTGCATAGAAGAAATTTGCATAAACTCCCCGCGTCAAACGCACGTGCCAATAGAACGCGAAGAGACCGCTCCAGAGCCCCTCATCACCCCGGTGCCTCAGTGCCTCAGCGCTACAGTGACAGATTGTGATGTGCGTTCGCTAATGACACTTTTGACACATGTATGCAACACAACCGTCGCGTGGTAGCTGAAAAAAAAAACAACAGCAACAACAATTGCAAGTTCCTATCGAGTTGCAAGCAGAAAGAAAATGAAAAAAAATGAATAAGAAAAAAGCTTAGCCGCTGACATATGACCACATTAGTAGCTGTAGTGGCAGGCAGGCAAGCCGACAAGTGCGTGTATATGGTGCATTGTGCCACAAGCAACAGTAATACACCACGACTTTAGCTGGTATGTATGTGCGTATGACCAATGCCGGCGGCTTGCGGTTTAGCCTATTTTGTGCGTCTTTAGCTCACTCAACTGTCACTCAATGCCTGTCAGCGTGCAATTTGTTGCTGGTTTGCTCTTTTGTTGTTTGAAATTACAAACTAAACACCTTTAGTGCTGGAAAACGGCGACAACAGCAACAACAGCAACATCTTTGGCTAACAAATAGAGGCGTACGAGTGACCTACTATGCGATTTTGGTGCGTTGCGGCAGGCCAAACTGCAATTCTACCCACTGGCCAAGTCATTCTAGCCATAGCCATTTGTTGTTGTTGAGGAATTTTATAAGCTTTGTTGGTTCAAATGAATTTTTGTGTAATTTTCCATATGTTTTGGTCTGCTGATCGCTGAATGATATATTGCGGTCAGCTGATAGGCTGGGTGCTAATGGGGAATTCCGGGAAAGTAGGTGGAAGGAGACTACGTGCGCTGTGCTGGTTAGTGGCTTTGGTAGAGTCTTCAGAATTAAAAAAAAAATACAATTAAAACTCCAAAAGCTTCTTTTTAGCACAAATTTTAAATTAATTTTTTTTACGAAAAATCATTAAAAAAATTAATTAAAAATAATTATAATAAAATTCATGAGATTTAAAATGTTTACTTCAAGATCATTTAATTATTTATTATTTATTTTTGTAAAATAAAGAACTAATTTTATAAATATTTTTAAATATTTACTACAAAAATTAATTATAAAAAACAAATTTTTATTTATTTATATTTTATACTAATATTTTTTTTTTATTTCCCCATTAGATTTTCAAATTTTTTTAAGTAGATAAAGATTAAGATTTGAGTACAAAGTACTCAGCATCCTTCTTTAGAACTCATACCATTATTTTCGACAATTGTATCAGAGCAGTTTCCCTGAAATTTTTATCCGCTAGAAGTTTTCCATATGTAAGTTCAAAAAATTCTAACGATTTTCAAAATTATAAAGAATTGAAGCGTTGGTTTTCGTCCAGCGAATTCTTTCAATGATCGTGTTAAAATTTATAGGTTTTTTCCATGTTGCCGATGAATGCCTTTCAACTAAAAATTGGTTTTCTCAGATTTCAAAACGGAATATCGCTGCCAACCGCCTTGTAAGCAAAGGAAAATACTGACGCTTTCAAGGAAGTTCTTGGATTACCTGATATTTAAATAATTTTCTAAAAAAGCAATCAGCCATGCTGAAAAATCTTTGCTTTGCAATAAAGCAACAAACAAAACAACAGAATTGCCACAAACAGTATGGATCCACTTTTGAAGAGGAGATTGGCATTCGCTGGTACGCTGGCTCGCTGCCTCTTTGGCTCGCTGTATTACTGGCTGGCTGGCTGGCATTCTCAAAGCCATTTACGCATAATAAGGCCGTATAACGGCTTCCTAATGCAGTTACACAACCACAAACACACACACACACTGTCACACATACACATTTAGCACCATAAACACTATAAACATTGCAGCGCGACTGCGGAAAGGTAAAATAATCTCGCAATACATCTCGAGTTGTTGCTGCTCTAGTCGCTGGAGAATGCAACAACCACTGGCGTTTTGGCAAGGAAAGCAAGCAACAAGTCAGTCAGCAGCGCAGCGCAGCAGAGGCACGTATTTAAGTGGCTGGTGCAAAGATTTCTGCGCCCAGAGGTGCTACTTTGCGGCCGCACTAAGAGATTTCTTTTCTTTCCCGTTTCCATTCTTTTCCTTTTTCACCTAAGGCAGAGACTGTTTAATAGCTCTGCTAAAAGCTTTTTCGTGCTGGCGAGTTTAAGGAAGAAAAATTGTAAGCGGCAAACAAATTATTTGCTTACCCGCACAGCTGCCTCATATTTCACTTTGCTCAGCTGCACTTCATTAATAAGCAGAAAAATTAAAGAAAATATATTGACAAGCAATTAAACTGCATTTCACGGCATCATTTGGAGTCATAAACTATTTTCAAAATTTTCAACTAAATGCGCGGCAAGCTGCAGTCAGCAAATGCTCATTAATTAAGTTAGTTTCTAGTCTGCCTGCGCTGCTCCCCGCGGCATGCCTCACTTTTAACGCAGCAATTAATCATATTTTGTTGCAGCAAATGAACGATTTTCTGCTTTTACCGCCACACATATACACACACACAGGCAGCAGTTGCGTGCAGTTTATGTCTCGCGTTGTCGGTGGCATTTCAAAATGGTTTCCATTTGGCACTTTTGAGGCACTCAATTGGCAGCTGAGAGTGATACCTCTCAAGAATGTGGCATCAATGTGATAAATATAAATATATATATGTATATATGTGAATTTCTAACACGATTTCGATTCGGGCTTTTCGAAGAAATCGGAGAATGGCTCAATGACTGTATCATTTTTTAGAGAAAATATCCGAAAACTACCAGAGAGAAGGCAAAATGTAGTCGCCTCCGGCAAACAATACTTTGAATAATGCTTTTTTTAATTTTTTTCTATAAATCGAATTAATTTGTACTCTCAATATAAAATATTAGAAAAGCGAATTTTGGAAATTAAAAATTTAAATCGGATTGAAACTTTTTTTGTAAATAAAAAAAATAAATACAAAAATTCTGCAAATAAATTCACAGAAAAAAGGAACACAAACAAAATTTCGCCATGAAAAGTAAAAAAAAAATTTAATGACGTTAGAAAATGGAGAGACAACAAGAAGATTGAGCCCCGATCCAAGCTCATAAAATAAAAAATAAACTTGAGAGAGAAATGAGTAAATTTTTATGTTCTTTTCGGGAAAAATATATTATAGGAAATTCAGATTTTCTTAAATAATTTATTTGTCAAATTAAAAATATTTAAATTTTTCTAAATTTTTACACTTCTATTAAAATTTAATTTAAAAAGTAATTTTTTTTTTTGCCTGGAAATGAAGTGAATATTTCACAAAAATGTTTAAATAAAAAATATTTTCAAATAATCAATGAAATTTTTTTTTTTTCGAAAGCAAACTAAAAAAATCGATTTATTTATTACCACACTTGCTGCAATACCAACAAAAGAACACTAAAACAACAACAACAGTAGCAATAAAAATAATTTCAACCACATTTAAATACATAAACTTCGACTTCCTGCACATCAATTCAATTTTGACGTCGAGAGGTGTTGGCAAATTGCTGTTTGTAACACCCAACCAAGCAATAATAACAACAAAAAGTCAAAAAGAGCAACAAAATAAAAATAAAAATAAAAATAAAAATAAAACTAAAAATAAAAATAAAAGCTAAAAACATACACGAATTCCAACGAAAAGCCATTATATTGTAATAAGAAAGAGACTTCCTCCGGTAACTTGCCACTCGCCAATCGCTGCCACATGCAGAGCACTTACACATTCCTCATTCTTGCTGCTGCTGACTGCTGCCACTATAAATTCACCACTCCGCTCCGCTTCGGCCGCCAGCTGATTGCTACTGTCGCTCGCTGCCTCCTACAAAAATTTGCCTCCTGTCACAATCGTTCATGCCACAGCAATTTTCTACGCCGACAATTTGCATTGAATTGTAATTTTCATTAATAACTTTTTTCTGCTTCCTCTGTTTCTACTTCTGCTTCTGCGATCGCATTATTTTCTGTTTTCGCTGTTAATGCTGTTGCTGCTGCTGCTGTTGCTGCTGCTATTTCTGTTGCTGCTGTTGTTGTTGTTGTTGTTGTTGTTGTTGTTGTTGTTGTTCTCTATAATATTGCATTGCTTTAGTTGATATAAACTTTAATGGCATTTGTTGGTGTTTGTATGTAGTGCATCTTGTCTTCTCTTGTTCTTGTGCTTGTTCTTGTTCTTGTTCTTCTTCTCCTCTTATAATTGGCAGTGTTGCAAGACCAGTTGACCAGTTGTAGGTATGGCAGATATAATTGCATGCCATAAAAATAGATTTCTGCTTAGCCATTGCGGAGAGCATTGGCGTGGCAAATTGTTGGGGGCCAACTCAGCCAGCTCAGCCAACTTTTGAGTGCGTTGCAAGGTTGCATGTAATTTGCGAGGTTCCACAGAAGTCGTTTGGAAAAAATGGAAATATTATAGATACATTGTTGTGCTTGGTTCTCAAATTTTTGTAAACACTTTTATATGAAAAAATAAATAAAAATAAATTTATTATTTATTTTGAAAATTCGTTTTTATTGTAAATTAAATATTTTATTGGAAAATAAAATTATTAAAATAACTGAAAATAAAATAAATTTATTTGATTTCTTATTTGTTTCCAAAAATTTTCAGATATTGCATAGTTTCAAAAGAAAAGATAATAAATTCATAAAAATTCATTAAATTCATTTTATTTCAAGTTTATTCAAATTATCAAAAATTTAATGTAAAATAATTATTTAAAAGCAATTAATTGATATTTTCATGAAAATAATTTTTTTTGCAAACTGATTTAAAAAAAGACCAAAATCCTCGATTTTTTAAACAATTTTATGAAAAAATTTAAATTTCTGTTTCGATTGATTTGTTTTTGATAATTTTGAATTTGATTAAAATTTGTTTGAAAACTATTATTTATTTCCATTACATAATTACGAGTTTCTGTTGTATTACTTTAAAAATTAATTAAAACACATGCAAGTTTTTCAAAATAATTTTTAATATAAAAAAGAAGAAAATAAATAAAATATGGATTCTCATTCAATTTAAAAAATTTTCCCTTTAAAAAATGCGAAATAAAATTTAAAAAATATTAGAAGGACTAATGGGTGCATTTCTATTACAAAATTACAAAAATATAAAAATACATATAATTCCATGAAAACAATTTTTTTAATTAATTGTTTTCCTCTCTTTCACTCACCACTTAAAGTCATATTCTTTATTTTTGTGCTGCTAATCTGAACTTATTATTACGACCAAAATGCCATAATTTTTTAAGATTTAATTAAAGTATTTTATTTATTCATTTCATCTTTTAAAATTAAATAGCATCTCTTTCTTTATCTGAAATCATTGTTCAACTCACCCGCAGTTTTTTTCGCTTCGCTGCCTGCCTTCCAACAGCTACTACTCCGATTTGGTACACAAATCCACTACTGCTAAGTGCTCACTACTTTCCAACACACCTACTCTAACGGGTAGACAGTCCTTTTGTGCCAACAACAAAAACATTTCAGCACATTTATGGCTAAACAACAACAACAAGACCGCGTTTGGCCATTAAAGTTGCAATTTACGATGCCAATGGTGAAGGTATTTTGTTGTTGCTTTCCAACGTTATAAAATCGACAATTCGTTGTTGTTGTTGTTGGTGTTTTTTCTTTTATTGCTTTCTTCCTTTGTTCCTGTTATTTGTTTGCATTCTAGCCGCAGTTTTATGCGTTGCATCGTTACAGCTAGTTTATAACATGAGTGGGCGGTTGTAAAGGCCAATTCTAACGGTGTTATTTTGCCTAGCAGCAAAAATGTTTGAGTTGAAAAAACGTTGGTGGGTTTGTAATAGAAAGGAAATGCAAGAAAAAAAATTCCAAAGTGCTCAAGAGTGTGTGTGTATCGCGGATTTTGATGCATATATAATTTATAAAAAGTAAATTTGTCTTGAAAGCTTTTAAAGCTCGTTGAAACGCGCTTATAAATCAGAGCTTTAAATATGGATCATATTAGAAAAGCTTTCATAAGAATAATAAACAATAGTAAGAAAATCTACGTAGAAGGCTTTGCAAGCTTTCAAAGCTCACTATTAATGGAGCTTCATTTACATCGTCTTTTACCTTAATATCTTTCGAACCGTAAAGTGGTGGGTATGAGAAACTAATTTTTTAACTTCTGAACAAAAAATTACCTAAAAGAAATCTTCAGGGCTTTGTTCGATTAGTGGAGAGTATTAATGTTCAATATTATATGAAATCTGTAACCATAATTTTGGACGCTTACAATTTAACTCTAAGTTCGATTTGTTGTTTTGAAGCCCTTTTGCTACAAAAAATATGCACTTAAAGCTGCTTAAAAGCTCAAATATGGACTTTTAAGCGCACGCTTAGGCAACCAAAAAGCTCTTTATTTATGATGAGTGCTTTTAATGAAACTATCAGTTAGTAAAAGTGGCAATTAAGTATATATTGTATAGAAGAACTTTGAGTTCATAAGGAAGCTTTTAAGCTCTCTAGGCGAACAAAAGACTTTTAAACAAGAAAATCCAACTTGAGTCTTCCTTCACTCATTTTCCTTCATATTATTATATCTGTGTTATACAGGCAAAAGCTCCAAACACCGTTATCACTGTTTTGCTGCAACGGTGGGTTTCGTGTTACGCTCGTGCTCCACTCACGACGATGCCAAAACAAATTGTTACAATATACCACATTCTATTGCACACACACACACACATGCAAGAACAATAAAATTTCATTTATGCCGCTACTCAATCAACAGCTTCTTTCTGGAGCCACAGAGAAAGAAGAAGCAGCCGTCTAAGTGTCGTGGCCTTACTTTCTTGCCGTTTCTTTTCCTTTCTCTTCCTCTTTTTTGCGGTTCTTTATGCCGTTATCTGGCATGACTTTACCGCAACATGTCATTGAATGCGAAAAGCGGCGAGTGAGAGGAGCTGCAGGAGAGGCGGTGGCGTCGAGAGGGAGGGCGAGAAGCGTTTGTGGAAAATCTAAATCAAGTTGGCAATCAAACGGACCTGAAATGTAATAAAAACCCGTAAAACAAAAAGACGTGCAAGACCACCGGTGATAATTTTTAACTGTTGCCGTGTTGTAGGTTGTTGTTGTTGCTGAGATTATATGGCTTTGTCTTAGACAATGAGTTAACTGTCGTGAAGCAGGCAAAGCAGAAAAAAGAGGAGACGCAAAGAAATAAAGACATTAATTTGCAAGCGCGCTAATGTGGGCTCCAGTTGAATGGAAGCAGGTAAAGTCCCGGCACCGCGCAGACCAAGCAATAGAACTATTTCTTCAGCGATTCATGTATTTTATGACAGTCTATCCACCACCTCTACCCTTCATTAGTACTAAGCCTTCACGTTCTCCTTATTATTTAATACCCAACCAAAGGTCGTAGCCAAATTCAACCATTTTCCGTCTTATCTTCTTTACAGATGCGATTATTGTACCGCGACAACCGTCCACTTAACATGTCGCCCACCACCGCCAGCATGCGCTTTGCTCTCGTCCTATGCCTAGCCATCGCCCTGCTACCCAGCCCGGCCGCGGCGCGCATGGCTTTTGAGAAGCTGACAGACTTCGACTTCGCCGGCACCACATACTACAGCGTCAAGAATTTGTCACTGTACGAGTGTCAGGGCTGGTGTCGCGAGGAGGCTGACTGTCAAGCGGCCGCATTCAGTTTTGTCGTCAATCCGCTATCGCCATCGCAGGAGACACACTGTCAACTGCAGAACGACTCATCCGCACACAATCCCTCTGCTGCGCCGCAACGTTCGGCGAACATGTACTACATGGTCAAGTTGCAGCTGCGCAGCGAGAATGTCTGTCATCGGCCGTGGGCGTTCGAGCGTGTACCCAATAAGATAATACGTGGTCTGGATAATGCGCTCATTTACACCAGCACTAAGGAGGCCTGCTTGTCGGCTTGCTTGAATGAGAAACGTTTCGTTTGCCGTTCCGTCGAATATGATTACAATAATATGAAATGTGTGCTGAGTGACTCGGACCGCCGCAGTTCGGGACAGTTTGTGCAGCTGGTCGATGCACAAGGCACCGATTACTTTGAGAATTTGTGCTTGAAGCCGGCGCAGGCGTGTAAGAATAATCGCTCGTTTGCTGTCGCACGTGTGGGCGTGTCGGAGGAGAAGGTGGCTCAGTATGTGGGCCTGCATTACTACACGGATAAGGAATTGCAAGTGACGTCGGAGTCGGCGTGTCGTTTGGCTTGTGAAATTGAGACAGAGTTCTTGTGTCGCTCATTCTTGTATCTCGGCCAACCACAGGGCTCCCAGTACAACTGCCGTTTATTCCATTTGGATCATAAGACGCTGCCGGATGGCCCCTCGACTTATCTCAATCATGAACGTCCACTCATCGATCACGGCGAGCCAATCGGTCAGTATTTCGAGAACGCCTGCGAGAAGACGAGTTCACCACCTGGCACTCTGGATAAATTGGATACACTCCCAGTGAGCTTAGACACCACTGAGGATCCCAACCTGACCAACATCACCAGAAACGATGTCAATTGCGATAAGACCGGCACCTGCTATGATGGTAAGTAGCAGAGAAGCACTGGGTTTTTGGTCAAAATCTTTCAATCTTCGTTTACTAACTTATCTTTCTTTCTTTTCTCCCCCACAGTTTCGGTTCACTGCAAAGACACACGTATCGCCGTCCAAGTTCGTACCAATAAACCTTTCAACGGTCGTATCTATGCGCTGGGACGTTCTGAGACCTGTAACATTGATGTCATTAACTCGGATGCCTTCCGCTTGGATCTCACAATGGCTGGACAAGACTGCAACACGCAGAGTGTGGTAAGTAAAATTCGAAGAGTTTCCTTTTAGCTTCGCAAAGTTTACGATCAGCTATAGATATCTTTTGTAAAATTTTCACGCTCTGAGCTCGAGCTAAACACAACAACCAAGCTTGGAAACTTACACTTACACATACTTTATACACCTGCACCTTTTTATTTCTTCCGCTCCCCGCAGACCGGCGTCTATTCAAACACCGTCGTCCTGCAACATCACAGCGTCGTCATGACCAAAGCCGATAAGATCTACAAAGTCAAGTGCACGTACGACATGAGCTCGAAGAACATCACATTCGGCATGATGCCTATACGCGATCCAGAAATGATCCATATCAACTCATCACCTGAGGCGCCACCACCAAGAATTCGCATACTCGATACACGTCAACGCGAGGTGGAAACTGTACGCATCGGAGATCGTCTCAACTTCCGCATTGAAATACCAGAAGACAGTAAGCGAAAAGACTGCCATGATCAAATGAGACAAAAGTCGACTAATAATTGGTTTTCTCTTTCTTACTTTCACCCCCATTTGATTTTGCTCAAGCTCCCTATGGCATCTTTGCCCGTTCCTGCGTCGCCATGGCTAAGGATGCTCGCACCAGTTTCAAGATCATCGATGACGATGGCTGTCCCACCGATCCTACCATCTTCCCAGGCTTTACCGCTGACGGCAATGCACTGCAATCAACCTATGAAGCTTTCCGTTTCACCGAGAGTTATGGTGTCATCTTCCAGTGTAACGTTAAGTACTGTCTGGGTCCATGCGAACCGGCCGTGTGCGAATGGAATATGGAATCGTTTGAGTCGCTGGGCAGAAGGCGCCGTCGCGCTGTGGAGAGGTGAGTGCGCAGTTGATACGGCTCCGAAGATTATCTTATCTTTAATTCTGTCTAACTTTAATTAGCAACGAGACAAAGGAGGCTGATGATGATATGAATATCTCGCAAGAGATTCTAGTCTTGGACTTTGGCGATGAGAAACGTGAATTCTTCAAGGCGGATCCCAGCACAGATTTCGCCAAAGGTAAAGCGTCGGCGAGCTATGGAGCTTTTGTACCTTCCAATGACACTCATTCCCTTCTCTCTTCTCTCTCTTTCTCTTTCGTGTCGGCTTCTCTCTCCACACAGATAAGACTGTCACCATCATCGAACCCTGCCCCACAAAGACCTCGGTCTTGGCGCTGGCCGTCACATGTGCGCTCATGATTTTGCTCTACATTTCGACGTTGTTCTGTTATTACATGAAGAAATGGATGCAACCTCACAAGATCGTAGCATAAAGCAAGGATTGAGCTTCCTTCGCACAAACGCACTCACACACACACATGAAGAGAGGATAACAAAAATCGCATGGAACACAGGGGTTAATGGACTAAAAATCAGCAAAGTACTTTAAAGAAAGACATAACAAATGATATTAAGTTTTACAAAAGAATATTGAAAAAACATTCTAAAAAATATTTTTTTAACAAAATTTTTCAAAACTAGTTTTAAGTTTAATTTTAAACAAAGAATAATGCATTTCATAATCTTAAGCTTAGCAAGAGTCTACAACAAAACAAAATAACTAAACAGCTACCTTCACCCTCAATTCAGGTGGTAGAGAGCGGTTAAGAGTTTTCGGAGCTTTCGAAAAGCTTTGTACTTTTCTAACGGGGTAAATTTGGACAAAGAAATATGCAATAATAATTAATAAATAAAATAAATTATTAGTATTAGCTTAATCAAAACACTAAGTTCTGCACATATATGAAAGCTCAGTGTAGTAGAGCTTTCATTTACAACTTTAGTCTTAATATTAAAATTATATTCCTACATACATACTTATATTTATTTATAACTAAACACATACTACTACATATATCTTATGGACTGTTTATGAGCGTGAGAAATATGAAAGCGTCTAAGAAGCTTTCACGCAAAAATATAAGCTCTCGAAAAAAAGGTGGAGAAATAGTGAAAGAATACTGTGACTTTAAATATAGTGACTTAACAAATTCGTGTAGTACTTAAGCTTTAAAGTGCTTTTTTTGAACTTACAAAAAGGTGGTGCATACAGAGACCTTAAGCAATATCCATTTCAGTGTGTGTTACACTTGATAAACTTATGGTGTATCAACTTTAAAACTTTGTATTTTATTTAACACTAGAAAGCTTTTAAAGCTTTTGACAGAGCTTATGAAGGTACTGTTATACAAAGAGCTGAGGGAACTTTCGATAATTTGATAAAAAAAAACTAAACGGTTAAAAGAAAAAGGCTTTAAAACGCAATGTTTTTGACTTCAACGCGGTAATTCAATTGTGAAGTGCTTTAAAGAAAGCTCTTAAGCTTTTAAGGTCACTTATATATGTACATATTTTCACGCTCTGGTCCCTCTCTCACTACCATCTAACTTCTTTGCCTAAAACAAAATGTTTATTAGTATTTATCTAAAGCTTAACTACCAAGCAACAAGGCGCACTTTCTATGAGGTTCCGAAATCTCAATCATCTCCAAAACATATTTCGGAATCTACGCATAGAGATTGAGCTTTGGCTATGGACAAAAAATAAAAATAAAAATAAAAAATGAAATTATTTTATATATTCACGCAGGCTTTTTATACTCTTGCTTTCGAGTTTATTTATTTAATTGTATTTAATATTTAACTAATTTATGTTTAATGTCTAAACAAAAAAAAATTAAGTAAAATAAAATAAAATAAATAAAAATCATAAAACGAAGAACGGAAAACTGTGCTTATTTATGTTGCATTTATCAAACAAATAGTAAGAAAAATTAGAATTTTAGCAAATTATTAAAATAAAAAATCAATAAAAGCTCAAAAGTTCAATTAAAACTTTTTTCATATAATTTTGTAAATAACTACAGTTAAACTGAAATTAATCACAGAAGTAAAATCACTTAATTAAACTATTTTTTTTTTTTTTTTGCTACAAAAATCAGTTGAAAATAATTTTAAGAAAATGCCACAACAATTTCATCAGTAAACATTGGCAAAAGTTTACCTTTTTGACATCTGCATATAAAAATATATAAAGAAATAATAGTTATTTTTTAACTCTTATAAGCGAAAATGAAACTGTAATGAGCGAAGCTAATTTTTAAAAGTAAATCAAATAAATATTCTTGAAAAAATTGTAAACGCAATATGTTTTATTTCTAGAAACCGGATCAGAAGTGTGGAGAAAGCTATAAAGTTAGTGAAATTTTCCAAAATTATAATTCTTTTTTAATGCCCTCATTAGGGGGGATATAAACACTCCGCGTAAAAATCTATCAACGCGCACAACGAAAATTAAAAAAAGCTCGGCCGGAAATCCCCTCAGCGATTTTAAAGCATTGAAGCTTTCAGATTTAAGAGTTTAAGCTTTAAGGGTCAAATTAAATTCAAAGCTTTCAGAATGTTTGCCTAAAAAATTATTGAAATTTCTGACGTCTTTAAAGTAAGTATATAAAATTAAATAATAAAGAGCTTTCACTTTTATCAGCCTACCGAAATATATGAAGAATCATTAGGAGACTCATAGCTTGAAACTGGAGAAAAGAAAGTGAATTTATTTAAGCGCTTGGAAGAACATTATTTGGCATTCGAAAAACATTTTTCAAAGATTTTACCAACAATTCATGGAAATTAAATACAAATTGCTACCGCAACAAATCGCCATAATTTCACACTTTCCATGCGTTTGCAAGACAGCAATTGAGAGCAAATGTAATTACAACTATTTGCATTGTCAGAACTAAGAGGGAAATTGAAAACCAACAAAACGAAATTATCTCTTTCAATTGAGCCATAAACTGCCGTAATGCCAGCAGAGTAATTACACGCTTTATCGACAAGAAGCGCAACTAATGCGATTGAGGGCATAGAAACCCAAGCGCATATACATATAATATATAGACAGCAGCATTTGAGGTATGTTTGTATGTAAGTAAATACATTTGAAATATTCTAAAAAAGTAATACATATGCATATGCACATATAATAATAAATACCACAATACCAAAACCACAATAACAATTCAATATTAAACTTACAAAAATAACAGTACCAATACCAATCCCAACGTTATCTACCTTATGCCGTTACCAAATATAAAATCTCCAATTACCAATTTCAACACCCATGAAGATGCTATGAAAGGAGAAGAATGTTCCTTCCGCTGTTTCCTTGGAACCACTCACTCCTAAAGTTAATAATCACAATCATTATGTGCCCAGCAAGAAGAAGCATGGAAAAATGAATGCAATTTGAAGACTGGCAGCAGTTGATGCACATACATACTCGTATTCGGAATGAATCTTCTCCATCCATCCACCATCCACTCAACCAATTATCCGGTCACTTATTGGCTCAATAGCCCATTCAAGTGGTTGATCTCTTTATTGTGTTTTCCATTTTTTCCATTATTTTATTTCCTCTTATTTATTTCATTATTTTTTTTTACTCTGTTCTCTCAGCAACCTCATTGGCCTTTTTCCATTGTTATTGTTGCACTTTCAATGCTAGTTAAGATCGAAGATTTCCCTTGGTGGGCGTGTCGGTTGGTTTTTATGCTTTCCTGTTCATATTTTTATTCTTATTTGATGTAGCAAAAAGCACTAGGAAACATGTAATTTGTTATATATATGTTTTATATATGTATGCATTTTTCCCTTGATTTTTCTCTTCTTTTCATGAGTTCATTACAACTTTCAACTTTTGTTTTTAACTGTAATTGTTGGGCAGTTCATAAGTCATAGGCCGCATTGCGTCAGCCACTCCTCGATGCTTATACATTTTATTTTACTATTTTCATAGAATTTTTTAGACAATGGATTACTAATTTCAAAAGGGTGTGTTACTTGTTGTAGCTTTTAAGATAAATATCAAGTATTGTCCATTACATAAAATATGTGTTCTATATTATTTATTTTATTTAATTTTATTTTATTTTATTTTATTTTATTTTATTTTATTTTATTTTACTTTTATTTTATTTTTTTTTTTATTTTTTTTTCATTTAATCTTATATATGAGCTGGGTAAGGCGTAATCAAATGTCACTGAGATGAAAATATAGGCCAATCGTTGGTTATGCTTTACGCGCAAGAGCCACAATAACAACAACTACTACAAAAGATATTTAACTTAGAATTGAGTTAACTCACAAGTGTTAAAAGATTATTGTAAAGAAAATAACAAGAATTTGTTTAAATATATATGTATGTAATCTAAAGCTGGAGTATAAGCTATGCTTTGTAGTAAAACAAAGCGGGACATTGAGATGTGAGCAACAAAAACAAGAACAACAGCAGACGAAGCAGCCAGAAGTGGAAGCAGCTATTAGCTGGCGGCAAGTTTGTCAGCTTGATGAGCAGCAACAACGGCTAGAGAAGATTACTATCAGCAGCAAAATAACACCGTGATTTCAAACAAACAAATGAGTGAATGTATTTATGTATGTGTGTATGTCAGTATGTGATTTCTGCAAATCTATTTCTTAAAGCCACTCGACCGAGCTCAACGTGAACGGAAGCTCTTAATCCGCAGCGACGCGCGCAAAATCTGTCAGCAATTACACACTTACACCATTTGTATGAGCACAAACATATGTACATTCAACGCGCACTTGCTTTACGGTAAAGAACTTGCAATTACAATTTGATTGCGACGAATTGGTGGAATGTGGGTCACGATGATTGTCATAGCATTCTGCGAGAACCCGTTAGCTAAGGAAATGAGTTTAAAAAATTTCTTTTTACAATAAAAAATGTTTAAAATTAAAATAAAAAAATTTGCATCGGAAAAATTTTGCTATCAAATTATATATTTTAGCAACTTTAACTTGCTTCGTTAGTTGTAAATAAATTGCATTAAATTGAAAATATAATAATAATTATTTTGCAAAATTATGCTAGAATGACAATTTACTTGAATATGTATTATAGCAACTGCTAGCGTCAATAACGACAGTTCATCTTAAAAACGGTGCAAGAACATCAAGAAGGACACAAGTTTATAGATCGAAGTAATAATATAAAAATTTCGCTTAGAAAATTTTGCTATAAAAATTATAGCAACTAAAATTTGCAAAATTCGTTTCTATTTATTATTTTATTAATATTATTATTCTACAGCGTGAGCTCAAAATACTTTTATGATTTTCACTCGAGTTGTTGCCATAAATATTATGGCACCTTTTGAAACTGTAAGAAAAAAATGTTGAATTCTCGCTAAAAACTATTTTTTTTTGCTCATGCTTTTGGCGAAATTCACTTTCAATAGCCAACTGTATTTTCAATAAAAAATGCGCTATATTCATTTAAACATAAATAAAATAACGGTAGTAAACTAGCTATAAACGGTAGACTGATAACAACAACTATTATGTATTTCACCAAATGTACATACATACATGTTGTACATAAATTTGTATACTTATGCGGGTGCACAACAACAAGTGCCGTTCGGTTTTTTGTTGCTTTCGTAAATTTATTTATCACTTATGTGGCACACTTTTCTTTGCGGTTGAATGCGCAGCGTTACAAAAGCACCTCCTCGTATAGATGTTAAATTTCATAAATGAATAAAGGCAAAATGTATGCGAGTGTGTTTGTAATAATGTTGCCTTGAGTTCGAAGTTATATAGTTTTTCGATACCAACTGAACTACTTCGCCAAATAATTTGCTGGAATGAAAAATACAGTTTCTCCCTCACTTCATTGTTAAATTTTCAAATTTCAAAGCGCTAGCTCTCAAACTGTGCTAATATATGTGCTTTGTGAAATGAGCTTTGAAATGCTTAAATTTTATACCATGACATTTTTTGAAAATTTTTGCAAAAAGTGTGAAAAATTTTAAATTAAATTTAAATAAAATAAATAAAGACTTTTCTTTGAATTTTTTCTTTCTTTATTTTGCACTATATGTTTTAATAAAGTTTGTCTATGTGATATTGATTCTTTATATAATAAACTGTTATATTTCCATGTGTATATATATATGTATATACTTATTTTAAATGTACATGACCATCTTAAAGGGAAACATCTTGCATGCTTATGATTAAAAACATTTAAATTTACCATTCTTCATTGTAAATTTTATTTATTGAGTAGTATGTGTCTATATGTGTTGTTTCCTTTACTAAAAAACAAAAAAAAAAAAAAAAAAACATCAGAAGAAATTAACAACAGACAGTAGTAGTAGTGGAAATATATATAATATGTATGTATGTACATATGTACTTCTTCACATTTAAAACTGCTTTAAATCTTAGTTGTCTACTTGTTTTGTTAAGAATTACTTAGGAAAAACACACTAATGAAATATATTTCTGTATATATGTATTGCTAAAAGTTAGTGTTGCTTAGTGTATGGGGAAAAGGTGCCCTAGCATCACTTCTTTTTAGACATATAGAGCTACAATTTTGAAAATGCTTGTTTATTAATTTTTATTTGAAAAAAAAAACCCGCTTGCCACTAATTACTATACATATATATTTTTACGTGTGCTACGTCTGTTTCATGCCACACAAGTCTACGCGCGCACACTTTCGCTGCACTTTTTTCAGTCTAAATCATCAAGCCCATTTGCGGCAACTACACATTTCAATATCAAGGCACTTTTGGCAAACATTTTACGAGATAGTGTTGCTGCAAAGCGAAATTTCTTGCGAATTTTGAAGGGAAAAACAAATTTTGTGTGTTTCTATTATATTATTTTTCAATTACTTGCTAATGATTATGTATAGAATACGTATGTATGTATGTATGCATACATACCTGCACTTAGATATTTACTAAATTTTAGTAACAAGTTTCTATTAATAATATCAATTAAAATTAGTGAAAATTGTTTATAAAGAGAGACTAACTTAAAAAGTAACAAAATTTAAACTACAAATAAAAAAAAAATTAATGCTTTAGTGGCAGTTTCTAAAAAAATTGTCAACAAAAAACTGAAACTCAATAATTCAATTCGATTTTTTTCATGCTAAAACTAAAATTTAAAGGGCTCTAGAAATTTACAAATCAAAATCAAAACTAAAAAAAAAAAATAATAATAATGACAAAAAATAAAATAAATAAAAATTACATTTAAATAATAAACAAAAACGTCTTAAATCTATGCTAAAACATCTAGGCAGCATGACCATTTCTTAAATTACTACTGTTTGTCGCCGCTCCCACCTCGGCGCCCTGCTGCAGAGCGCTGCTGAGCGAAACCGTTGTAGGCAATAGCACCACACTACCAGGCGTCGCAACGCCCTCAGCACCATCCGGCTTAGCTGACGCATAACGGCAGCTAGTTGTCAGACACTTGCAAGAAAGATGGCGATTCTTGAAGAGCCAAAATGTGTCGCCGTAATCGAAGCTGAAGACAGAAGGAGAAAATTAATTTAAAAATCACACTAGCGGAATTCCGCTCAGAAGAACTCACCACAACTCTTCGCCCGCCTCAATGTCGCGACATGCGAAAAATGCTATCTTAGGAAAACGATAATCCTGATGCTCGAAGAAAACGCGCACCGACACAATATTCGGTTCGCACGAGTGATTGTAGAAACGGCTTACATTGCCGAAGTAGTTTGCATCGATGCAATGACCATTCTCCAAGTCAAAACAATAACTGTCATCGGTGCGCCTGTCAGCTTCGGTATTACTGAGTATTTCGCCGATATACTCAGAGACGAAAGCTCCTTTCGGTACATGCACGAGCGTGCGTACGCCCCAACCTTTTGTAGTATCGTTGCATTCGAACACTTGTAGTGGTATGCGTATGCCATTTTGTACGACACGATTTCGGCAAGAGACCTGTGGCAGAGACAAAGAGCAAAATAAGTTTTTGTTGTCGCACGAAGCCCAAAAGTATGCTATAATAATTTTGAATCGCCTTATGGGCAGCAGAATATTAAATAATTTCTTGCATTTTTTATTAAAGGTAAATGTTAAAAGTATTACTTTCAGCCTAAGACCTAGCTTAGTAGCCATAAATTATAATTTTTTGTTGTAATGTTAGCTTTTCAAATAAATTAATTGCGCCCGACTCTATGAAACAGCAAGTTTTAAGGTTACCGGTGCAGATTCAAGAACCCCAAGAAAGGAAAGTTTTTTTTTTAATAAAATTTTGATTTTCTGCGAAACTTACAGAGATTCAAAAGTTTTTTGATATATTTAAATTTCCTTAGGATAAACTTAATTTCATAAAATCTCACTCACTTTATTACAGCCGCAGACGTCATTACACTCAAATATAGGCACTGGATCTTCGAAATTGAAATCAGCACATAAACGACCCTCAGCAGTATACCAATTTTGACCAGAAGCCTCTGTGCATTGGCACTGCGATGAAATGCAACTGAAAAACACATAAGAATTAAAAATTTACACAAAAATGGTTTCTCAGTTGGCCAACTCACCCATCCATACAAGAGCATATGCGCATTTGCGCCACCCGATAATCGATTGGCGTACAATTTTGTAATATTATAGACTTTTTAATATATTTTAAATCTGGCAACATAATCTCATCGGACTCATCATGGTTCACCGCTGCTGTGGCTGCCGCTGCAGAGCCTTCTGATCCGCTGGCCGCCAACAGGTCACCTCTACCATTTTTCTCAACACCTACACCGTTAACGCACAACAATTTCTGCTCATTGCGCACCACCTGTATGGGACGTGCCTCGCGGCCATTCGCTATGTCATCACAAATAATGCGACTACGCAAACCCAAAGGACGAAATGAACGCATTTGCATATTAAAACCAACAGTGCGTGCACACTCCGAGTCCTCGCGAGGTATGCAGTCGTAGGGCAATTCGTCGGCCTTATTCTTAACCATCAAATCAGCACCATTAGCGATAAGTGCAATGCAGAGGCGAGTGATAGAATGACGACAGGCTATGTGTCTGGAGGAGTATTAAAGCAGGAAGTGTGTTTTAGGAAAAGTGCAGAAATAATGAGCATTAAGCAGACTTACAGCGGCGTATCACCTTCCACATTCTGCACATTGCAATCTGTGCCTGCCTGTAGCAGCATTGTGATGATCTCCAGGCCATTGCTGTGTAGTGTAGACCAATGCAACACGGTGTTGTTATCATTGTCGCATATATTTGGATCTGCGCCATGGTTGAGCAAGAGACTGTAGATAATGAACATAAAAAATTATTAATTAAATCAAGTTTACCTTTAATGTTGCCCACTTTTAGGCTGCAATGTATTACCCCAAAAAATATTTCATTAGAGTGTCTTACCTTACTATCTCCGTATGACCCAATTCAGCTGCCCAAACCATTGCCGTCCAGCCGCCATCATCTTGTGTATTTATGAAGTCCATAAAATTTAATATACTACGGCACGATCGATAATTATCGATAATTAATTGTGTCGCTTCCAAGTTGCCCAATTTGGCGGCGATATGCAGACAAGTTTTGCCATCGGGACCCTGGAGAAAATTGAAAGGAATTTAAGTTGGATTATTGCAACCCTGATGAAATTTTGTATACTTCTTTTCTTATAGTAATTAAGTCGTATGTTAAATTTTTCAATTTCAATTTTTAGTCTTTAGTTTTTTATATTTTAATTTATTTTTTTTTCATTTGCATTTTTTTATTTTTATTTTTCTTATTTATTTGTCATTTTTAATTTTTTCTTATTTTCATTTATTTTTCATTTTTTGTATTTAGTTTAATATTTATATCTTATTCTTTATTTAATAATTTTTATTTCATTTCATTTTATTTCATTTTTATTAATTTTTTTCTCTTTAATTTTTTATTTAATTTTTGTTTCTATTTTATTTTTTTTTGTTTGTATGATTTTATTATTTTAATTTTTTTTTTGTATTATTTTTTTTTTTTTATTTTATTAATATTTTTTTTGTTTTAATTTATTAATATTTTTTTTATTTATTTTTTTATTATTATTTTTTATTTATTTTTTATTATTATTTTTATTTATTTTTTTATTATTATTTTTAATTTATTTTTTATTTTTTTTTTTTTATTTTTTTTTTATTTATTAATTTTGTTTTAATAATTTTTAGTTGTTTTATTTTATTAATTTTTTTTATTCTATTTATTTTATTTTTGTTTTATTCTATTTATTTTGTTTTTTTTGTATTACTTCTTTTTTAATTTTATTTTTTTTTATTCCTTATATTTATGTTTTAAGTTTATTGTATAATAAATTTTATATTATTTATTTTTTTTCTTTATTTATTTTTTTTCCTATACTAATATTTTTTATTCACACCCACCTTTATTGCCATATCAGCGCCGCATTGTATGAACAAGTTCAGTATATCACATTTATCACCCAATACGGCGCACATTGAGGCCGTGCGCAACTCACGATCCAGCATATTTATGAACTCCTTTCCATAACCCTTACAAAGCAGCAAGAAAGCCATCGGCAAAGTACCAGAGAGCGCGACCAAATGCAAGCAAGTGCCGTTGAGGAACTCACGCATGCGCGTTTTTACATCAAAATCAGAAGCTGTAAAGGAAAGAGATTAAAAAATTAAATATTTTGCGGCTCATGCTAAGAAAAATACCAACCGAGAATCTCAGCCACGCGCTCGAGATCATCATTCTTCACAGCATAATACATGTCGCGCGTGGAAAATTCCGATATCGAGCTGCGTGTGCTACTGGCGCCTCTTCGCCCATCTCTATTGCTCGGCGCACGACCGCGCAGCACGACATTCATTACAGATTCGGGTATTAATTGTTCAAAATTAATTTGTTGTAACTTCGGTGTTCGTTGAGGGACTGAACTGCTAATGGCAGCGGCGGGAGACGTAGAGGCGGTTGAGGCGCCGCCGCCTGTTACGCTGTTGCCGGCCGCAGTGTGAGTACTTGGAGGAATAGAGGAGCTGGAATGGCCATTTGGTTGTGGCGCGCCACTCAAAACTGGCAGTGACATCTTTGCCGGTTTGCTGCAGGGAAAAAATCTGTTTTATAGCACTTCTGTTGAAGTGGTGGTCATCGTTGATACTTACATTTTAGGCGCTCGTTGACTAGGCAAGAATACAGGCAATGTTTGGCATTTCATCGTTACGATGGAGGTACGTTCGGGAGTGTCGATGCCGCAGTGTGGACACTTCAACACCAATGTGGGACTAGTGTAGCTGCTGGTCGACTGGTGGGGATCGACGGGGCTGCTAAGCAGGAATTTTTCAGCGCATTCGGCATGGAAAAAATGTTGACGCTTACAGAGCACAAATTTTCCCTGTAATTGTACCAAATTTTTTACAAATATATTTTCCTTAACTTTATTTCCATTTGCTAAAAAATTATGTTCAGCAACTACCCACCTGCGTGCAAAATATGCCGCAACCGGCGCAGCAGTTGTGCGTCCGCAGCCGCTTCTTGTGATCCTCGCACAGCACCATATAGCTGACGCGCTGACTGGGGCGCAGCAAATTGAACACCTCACCGCTCAGCTGATTGCTGCAACCCACCTTCTGCTCTTCGATGTTGTCAATTGCCCAACAGTACGACGTATCTGGTGTGTTGCGCGTATAGAACTGTGTTCGCTTCTCACAATAGCAAATCAAGTTACGCGCCCCGACGTTCCTTGCAGGCGGTGATGGCGTTGGTATAGTCACCACAGTGCCCAGCGCGTTCAAAGCACTGGTGGTGGCAGCCAAGCCAGCCGAACGGCTGCTGGGTGACTGCAAATCTTGTGATGATTCAATTTCAATGATCTCGACTGTGGGTGCTTGCAGCAACTTCTGCTTACTGGCTTGCGCGCTTGATGCCTGCTTATTTGTCGCCGGCACCGGCTTATCGGTGGCGCTACGCTGTCTTGCTTGCGGTTTACGTCCCATCTTCGTGCTGGTTGGCGAAGCGGTGGCAGCGCGCCCTGTACCAAACACCGCAGAAGTCGGTTGCCCTTGCGTTGTGGGTGTTGGTGTGCGCTCTTTAGTTACGGTGGTGGCGGCGCGTTGTCGCAGGGTGTGACTGCGTCGCTCTACTTGCACGCGCGTGGTCGGCACAAACTCTTCATTGTCGCTGAGGCTTTCTATGTCGCTGGCCTCTTCGCTAGTGTTGCGTCGCAGGCCAAGCTTACGCAGATTATTCTCCTTCTGTTTTGCTAGTTTGCGCAACTGTTTCTTAGTAAACTTGCGATCGTCAGGCGCTCGATTCATATGCCATTTGGCTGATTTGATTTCGCTCAGAAATTTCTCAATATCCGGGCAACGTGGACGCGCAAGTTGCGCTTTCGCTTTGGCTGTCAGCGCAGCACGTGAAGCTTCTATGTCACGTAGCAGTTTGCCTGAAAGTTTCTTCTTCACGGTATTTGTGCCGTGTGTGGTGCCCTTTCCTTCCGACGCATCGGCGCGTTCGGACTTTTCGGACTTAACCTGCTTGCTGCTGCTTTTCTCCAACTCTGGCGCGCTCGTAACGCAAGTCTCCGCAACGTGCGCGCCGCTGCCACCACTATCTTCCCAGTTTTGCGACTGCGTCAAGCGCACCATATTATTGGTTTCGAAGTCATAACGTAGCTGACTGTTTTCCAATATTTTCGTGGTTGGCTTAATGCGCCGCTGCGAGCGCTTCGGTATAACTACGTCGGCAGCGTGGGCGCCGCGTTTTGTTGCCGAACCGGGCGGCGTTTGATCGCTGTTCTCGCTGTTCGCGCCACTACCATGAGAATGTGATTTCTCAAGTTGTTGTTGTTGGTGCTGCTTTTGCTGCTGCTGTTGCTGCTTCTGCAGCTGCAACTGTTGTTGTTGCAAGTGGTGTATGCTGCTGCTGCTGTTGCTGCTTCTGCAGCTGCAACTGTTGTTGTTGCAAGTGGTGTAATTTGGACTTACGTCCGCGTTTCTTAGGTGGTGTGCGCTCCTCCATCGCCGGGATGGACGATTTGCCAACGCCGCAGGTCATCTCCGTAAGACTGAGCGGATCGGGGGTCAGTGTCGGTTGGGGGTTCGAAACAGTGGATATAGGCTCGATTTTTATTTCTTCAAGTGGTGGCCCTTCCTAAAAGTATCGGAAAGTAAGTGAGTGAGTTATGAGTGAATCTAAGCTAAAAACAACTAAAAACTTCAGACTTACCAGTTGCTTGCCGTTGCCGCCATGCACCGCACTACCTTCCGTACGATTACCCAAACGCGTGCTGCGACGCATGCGCTTAGCGCCATCGCTTCCGACTCCACCACTATTTCCTGCCACAGCGCTGGAAGAGCCAAGCGTCATCCCCTCTCTTGCGTCCACATTGACCTCACTGATATCCTGCTCTACTTTGATAGCTGCGACTGCCGCATGTGGCACACTCTCCACACTATTACTGCTGCCATCTTCAATTTGTTTACGCTTGCGTCCCACTGTCTTGCGTTCCTGCGACAGTGAGGCGCTTACCGTTGCCAAGGTTGCTTGAGAGCCTCCCAAAAGCTGTTTGTCTTCCTCCTTACTTAGCGCAGCGTCAACGCTTAGTTCGAATCCCTCCATAGTCACAGTTATTTTTCTTCCGCGTCCGCGTCCACGCTTCAACGGCTGCAGTTGTACTTGTGTTTGTGCTGCTGCGGCTGCCGTTGCTGCTGCAGCTTCAAGTGCTCCCGCCGCTATTGTGGTCGTAGCCGGGAAGGCAGCGCCGGTTGTTGCATTAGGAACGATAGGGTTCTGGACTTGATCCGCCTGGGTGGGTGGCTGTCCCGCCGCCTCGTCAGCGTTAGAGCTAGTTTCTGGGGTGTCCACCTTCGTTATTGCAGTCGCAGTTGTTTCTTCTGTATCTGATAGCGCGTAGGTAGAAGTACCTACCTCAGAAAGTCGACGTGCGCGACGCAAGCGACGTAGTGGGCTGACACTTGCTGCACGGTCATTGGAGCTCTGCAAGAGAAAGGGTAAAAGCTTGTATTGAAAAGGGGAATACCCATTTAGATTTGCTACTGGTTTCATTACAAACTCGCAAAGAGAGCGAATTGTGATCTTTTGTTCTTCCGAAGCAACGAGCTCTAAAGTAATAAAATGTCATAAGAAATTAGAGTTGAGGTCATAGAAAGATATTTTGAACACACTTTCCTACCTTAAGCACAGCTCTAACTCATTAAGCGAGATTCAGGTAATCTGTAACTTGAATAGCCGCCAGAGGAGGAGAAGAACTTCGACGGTAACTAAACGTTTGGAGGGGCAGCAAACAATCATTATGAGTTACAAACCAAGAGATTTCGTCAGCTCACGCATTTTTGGGCTTAACCCGCTCCATTTTTAAAACTTTCTTCAGACTAAGTTGGAAAATCAACTACAACTCAACGTCCTACGCAGCCTTTATCTGCATTCGAGAAGAAGCTTTCGCCAAACATAACGAACATTCTTCGACCTCATTCAAATACTAAATTCGGACGCCTATTAGGCAAAAATATTCAAATGCATACATACATACATACAAATGTATGTACATATGTACTGAAATTCGAACTCATAAAAACGAAAATACACAGTAAAGCGAAACAAAAAAATATTCCATCAATTTTAATAATCACAAAAATGATATCATTAGTGGCGTTATGCACGTGTTTCCGAACTGAAAGCTCGCGCTACTGCCAATCGATGTGCGTGCACTTGTGTATTTATTGGATTCGAGAAGCCCGTTGAAATGGAAATCCCGTCGTTCGGGACAAGGAATTCAGTGAGACCGGGTTAAGAGAGGAGCTCCAAGAACTGGGATTTCTTTCGCCCACAGAGGTTTCTCACTTATCAGAGTAAGCTGGATAAATATATGAAACCCGATAAAGAAATGGAGAACTTTTGAGATTGGAAAAAGATATTACAAAAAATTTTCACTTTCTTTCACAAAGTGATACATAATTACGGGTTTTTGGGAAAAAAAAAATTTTTTTTTGCCAGCTTGAAGAAAGCATGAAGTCAAATAACGCTTGTGTACAGGGTGATCCAAATATTTTTCCTCGAAAAATTTAAGAAATTTCGCTGCGTAACAAAAATTAACATTTCGGGATTAGCAGCCCAAAATACAAACACACATGTACATGTGTGAATACATACGAATCGATTGCATAGTGGACACGACGAAATATAAACCTTCGCTAGCTTACTGGCTGCTTTTCTAGCGCTCACAAAGCGAGTGGCAAGTGAGGGAATTCCCTGAACTAAAAGTAAATCTTACATGCATTCATATTTACATATATACAATACATACATACGTACATAGGTATAAAGATATTTGAGTATGAAAGATAAATTAAATATTTACACATTTACACACAAGCAAAATGAAGTTAAAAAACGCCCAAATCACTTGCAAATAACAAAAAAGCTCAAGCATAAATTTTAGCCACAAAAGTAGCCAAAGAACGTAAAAATAAAATAAAAAACGAACTAGCAGCACAAGGGAGAGTAGGAAAATGCAAAAATAGCGCTTTATTCACTAATAGATGATAATTATTTTTTGTTTAAACATTTAAAACATACATACATACATACATACTGGCACGACTTTGGAAACAGTTAAAGCTGTTGGGAGCTTTTAGTTAGTGCTTAACATTTAACTGTTCTCACCTGGACACTACAATCTTACAATACCAAGTAAGTATGTATGTATGTATGCGGTTTTATGCTGTTATGATTTCTTCTATTTAAAGTAATTATATAAAAAATTAAGCTACAAAAAAGTTAAAAAATCAAGTAATATATTTATTTTATATATGAATATATATATATATATATTTATATTATATATGTATGAACGCTGAGAGTTGGTCACACTATTCTACTTAGACTTTGAAGATATATTTTCGAAAAAAAAAAAATATGCTGGAACTCGGGTGCGGTATGGTAAGCCCAACCAAGCCTATGTACGTATATTTGGATAAGAGAAAAATTGTGTGAAAGCTGTTTACTCGAGTTCCTCTGTGCTCTACTCCACAGATCTAGAACTTGTCTTGCTAAACATTCGGCCTTCACTTGTTAATGATAGCTCATATTTACATATGTTCAACACTTTACGCCGTAAGCTTATACATACATACATATATTGAAACTCAGTTCACTGCGATTGTATCCTCATTTCTCTTGTTTCTCTTTCATTTTCTCATTCTTGAACATGTTATAAATAGTTTTCGTTGAAATTCCACTGTTTGTTTGTGGGAATACTCGTACATATAATATATGTTTGTATAAAAGTATGTGTATATGTATGTATGTACTTACATTTTTATCAGTAGCATCGTCGCCCAGAGCGCTATCGCTCGTCTTTGCAACTTCGTTCAGAGCCTCCACTGCCTGCGTTGTGGTGTTGCTGTGTGTGCTGCTAGTAGTCTGGAGTTCCTCTTTCGGCAGCTGAGCAGTCGTAGTTACCGTTAAATTGGAGGTTGGTGTAATTGCTGTAGTGGTTATGGTTTCAACAAGCGGCATTTCACGTAAGCCATCATGTGATGCAGACATCACCAGCTCGTCGTCAATGTCGTCGATATCTTGTTTGATTGTATCCAAGTCAACCAGAACCAAATCTGCAGCATCTGCTGTGATTGTAGCAGCAACTAATGAAGTTTCCGGTATGTCGCTGACAACCAGGTGACCAGAGTGTGACGTCGCTGCACCGTTATCCACTTGCCCGGCACTTGTGAGCGCCGCGGCCTCATGGCACGCACGTTTTGTCTCCGCGACGCTGTCATAAAAATTATGTTCGGACTGACCTTGATTGAGTGTGCCAATGCTGGCATTGCTGCTGCTGCTATTGTAGTTGCTGCAAGTGCTGTTGCTGGTACTGGTATTACTGCGGCGCTTCCTGCTCGCCGCTTTATCGTTGTTGCCTGCACCGACGAAGTTTTCACTTTCATGCAATGACATTTTATCATCGACTGCGACGGTTTCTTCTTTACCAACAGCAGATGCACTAACTGTTGCCTCAATGGCTCTACCACTGCCACTTGTGTTGACATCTTGCTGCGGTTGCACGTCTTCGTCGTCGGCCAGCAATGCTTTCATCTGCTCCTCCATGAAATCGGTTGTGGATGCGCGATCTTCCTGATCTTGGGCACTTGAAACTTCTCTATTTTCAACTTTGCTTAGCTCCACCAACTTGTTGTCACCAACCTTAACAGAATGCTCCAGTTTTATTTGCGTGTTGTTGGAATTGTTATTGCTGCTCGTGTTGCCGTGTGGGCTTTGTTTGCCCTCCTGTTGAGCTTGGTTGCTGCTGGCTGCCGGCGTTGCTGAGCCCTGCTGTTGTTGCTTATGTGCTTGTACTTTTCTGTCCTTATCTTTGCATGCGAATCGATTATTCACCATAGTGCGCCATTTCAGCGTTTTGTCTTCGGCCAAATCGTGATTGAGCAGCGAACCACCTTCAGCTGTGCTCGTAGCGCATTCAGCATCAAATGTGCTGGACATCGAGCTAAGCAGTGACTCCATGCAATCGGCGGTAGTCATGTTATCTAGTATTTAATGATGTCTATGTGTGGATGATATTTGGGAAATACATAAACACTTATGCATATGTACACGTATATGCATAAAACTATGGTTGTTTACTACTTAGTCAATACAATTTACATATGTGTGTTTGTATGTATTTGTTCCAACATCAATCAAGCGTGCAAAAGTTTAAAATTTATGTTAATATAATTTTAAGGAAAAATGTATTTTCCAGCAAAAATACAATTTTAATACCATGTATATTTGCATATGTATAATTAGTCACCCTAGATTTGTGGCAAAGCACACACACAAAAGTATCTGCTGATTGGTACGGTCAATGTGAAAAATATAATTTTCGTTTAACACCTTTATTAACAACAAAATGTTTAATGTCCGGTCAACGGAAAAAAGTTATCGTATTCACAGCTGTTTACGCCCAACTCCCCCTCACACACGTCGTCATTTCTTTTTAGCCGATGACGTTTGCCATCTTACTTCATTCCAATGTCGGGCATTTTAACTTCTTTATCTCAAAGATTTTCTTTTTAAAAACACTTATTTCTGCTATATTTTGCTTTTTCACGCTCAATTAATTTATTTATGTAGCTTAAGCACAGCTCCATCACAAATCTCTATACGTTTCTACGCAGACACTGTTTTCTTGAACGTAATGATTTGCTTCTTAGCACTGCTGTTTTTTCTTGCATTACTTATCTACACTTTAGCTCTGCTTCTTCTTTAGCTATTTGTTAAACATGTATTGCTTTTTCAGTACTTGTGTATGTTCGAGTGTTAATATGTTTCACATGTTTGCTGTTTTTCTATGAATAGTGAAATTTTTGCACTTTTAATATTTATAAATCGTTTTTTTTTTTAATATTTTTAATATTTTTACATTACAATTGTATTTTTTCTCAACTGCTCTTACACTTTGTACTCGTTTGCATGAATTACATATTCACACTCACTTACTCGCATTTAATTTGCTTGCGCCAGCGCTGCTTTCTTACTTTGCCAACACCTCTCTTCCCCGCACATTTCCAAGACCATTCATCATCATCCATAGCACGTTCGCACAGCTCACTTTTGTTACAGTGTTTTTTTCTATATTTTACTTTATTTAATTTCACGTCAGCCGATATATATGTAATTAATAACTTTAACACATGTTTTTTAATAAATTATTAATTTTGTTAATTAAGCCATTGTATTTTTCTTGATAAAAATCTTATTGAATTTCTTCAGCTAGTTTGCTCCCGTCTTGTTGGAACGAACTCTTCTGTTGGCATACTCAATGCCGTCGTCGTCTTTATCGTTGTATACCTCACAGCAGGCATTCACTGCCGCCGTAGCTGCTAGCTTCCTATTCAATGAAAATTTGCTGTTGTACGCTGCTTCGAGCTCTGCCAGAAAATCTGTCAGCACAATATGCTCTGCTACAATTAACTGACCCTTTTTTATTGTATTTTTATTTAATATACGCTCTTTACTCATATAATTCAGTTGTCTCTAGGCTCTCTTTAATTTGCAAGTGATTCAAAAGGTAAAAAGCAAAACAACCAACCAACTAGCCAAACAACCCAATGTAATTAGCTCCTTGATGATTATTTTGTAGTTGTTGTTTTTGTAACATGTAGGGTGTCTTTGAGCTGGTTGTTATTATTTTTATTTTTTTAGTTTCTTGTGCTTGTGCAATTAGCGGTTTCATTTGCACTCTCACATGTACCCCAACGCTCTTATTTTTGCACTTCCCTAAGCTCGTTTGCTCTCGCTCTTTGTTTGCGGCTACCGTTCGTACATATGGACGTTTTACTTTTGTTTCCACTCAGCTGCTGCTGCTGTTGTTGTTGCAGCTGCACCCCCTTTTCAATGAATAAATGTTTTATATTAACTTCTTTCTTTCTGTGACTTTTTCTTATTAACGATAACAAGCGGGATTTTTCAATCTGATTTATTTGCACTTTCGTTGGTTTAATTTCACTTTTCACGGTCTAGTTTCATGTTTTCCAGCAGCAATTGTTTTTTTCCTTCTGTCACTAGTGACTTTTCTTTGTGTTAGCGCTTTCGGAACGCATCCCAATCAGGAAAATTGGCATACAGCGTTGATTTTTCATTAAAATATTAATTAACAACTTTTATTCGTAACGAAAACTGGTATTAAATTAAATCAGACGAATTTCGTTTTAAAAAAGACTATTATTTTTTTAAATAAAAAGGGAAGTAGTTGTTTTGAAGTTCTCTACCCTCAAATGTAAATTTTTCGGAAGCGGAAATGGACGTTCTTCAACTACAAGGAAGTTCAAAAAAAAAGATGGAAATATCGCTGAAGAAAAAGTTGTATCTTAGACATATTAAAGGAAATAGTTAAAAATGCATATAATTTTTATAAAATATGAAAAAACTTAAGCACTATTATGTGTTCTAAAACCGGATTTACCATCCTGTAGTATATTTAGTCTTTATAGTAGACACCCTATACAAAGCTGCACAGCACACTGAACATTTTGGTGAAATATCAACAGTGAGGTGAGAAAATCCCATGGTGTCATTTGATGTTTTCAATATTTTGTTTTTGTTGCTTTACAGAATCGAAAAGTCTTGGTTGTCGTATTTTTACGCTCTGCCGCGGTTCAGTGAAATTGTTAATTTTCCTGAGGAAAAATCAAAATAAAAAATTATTTAAAGTGCATTTGCAAGGTGGAAGATATTGAGGAATTTAAATAAAAAGTCATTGCCTAATTTATTATCCTTATGGGAATTATTTATTATCTGCAAAGAAAAAAAAAATTAATTATATACCACCCCAGTGAAAATTTGTGAAAACACAACCATACCAACGGGCCAAGTATAACTTGTGAAAACCATTAGAAGTGTTCTAAAGTTAAATTTGAATATAACACAAAAAAATATCTAATAGAAAAAGTGCGTAAAATAAACCAGTTTATATTTATACAAAACCATTGAATTTTCACTTCAAACATATTATAACTGGATACCTGCTGTAAATTCGTCAAAACGCCGCCAACAGCGCCAGCCTCACCACCCGCGGAGCATACGTGCGTGATGCGTGACCTCGGCACCAAAATGGCCGAGCTGAAATTCGAAGCTCCATTAGCTAAATTTGAGGAGACCGACGAATGGGGCGGTTGTGACTTCATAACCAATCAAAATACCATTAATGATACATTAAACTTGAATATTAAAGATCCAGCTATGAAGCAGGAAGCCAAAATTCGCCTACTCGAGGAAGCTGTACGGGATGCCAACGTTAGCAAGAATGGTGCACTCATGATGAATGGCACAACAAATGCTGTTGATAAGATTAATGGCGGCGCAATAAGTCCCAATTGTAATTCAATGCTCGCTGGCGAGCTTGGCTTGGATGTTGGTTTAGCGCCAGGCGATGATGGCTGCGATAAGCGATCCACTTCCGGCGATACGGTGGATAATTTTTCCGAGACTTTCGGTGGCAGTTTGGAAGATTTGGTGAATACATTTGACGAAAAGATAACCAAATGTTTTGGTAATTTCGAAGAGAACGTTGAGGATCTGGCACCGGTACAAGTGCGCAGCCAGGAGGAGATCATGAACGAATGCCAGTAAGTAGCAATTATTAATGCATATGTATGTATAATAACCAGCAAAAGGGGAAAAAACAAAAACTGATTGACTCATGTCAATTAATTTGTTTGTCAGCCGGTGCATAATAAGACCATAAATGCAGGATATATATGTAGTTACTTATTAACGCTAATTAGACGCTTTTCCTCGTACTGAAAATATTTGTTGGCTTTGTGTATATTTATAACTAAAAAATATAGAATAAAACATTAAATTAAGTTTTGAACAATTCTTAACAAATAATTTCATGTATGCACTACTCTTGACACCTTTGTCAGCGCCTGCGCACTAGAACCGCCACTACCCGCAAGGCGTAAAATGGTATTGTTTGTAAAATTTACTTGAATTTTTCTACCGAACAAAAAAGGGGCATATACCTACCAAAACATCGCCGCTGCGTTTCTTTAAATATATTTTCTTACAATACATAAACATAGATATGTACCTGTGTATTTTCCCTTTGCTTTGAAAAATAAGCTCATGTTTATCCGCAAACACTTATTTCTGGATAAGTTGTCTTATAGACATACATACATACATGCATTCCAGGTCACACTGTGCTTCTTCTTCTTTTACCAACATCTCAAACTCCAACATTTTAATTTCGTTTGTCAACCCAAACGAATGTGCCTACAGAGGGAGTGTACGACATAAGCAGCAGTTTCTAACTATTAGTCGATGGGGTGGTGGTGGTGGTGGTGGTGGTGAGTTTTCATTCTACCCAGCGCTGCACTGGATCGATAGCCACAAAGTGGATGTAGGGTTGGTTGGCAGCGGTAAGAAATGATTGTGTTGCCACTGACGAAAGCGCTACAGTTGTCGATTGAAATGGTATAAAGCGCTGAGCGTATACTAACGTAATACATACATACACTCATTTGGCTAACGCAGGGGTGTAGCAGCCAGCATGATGTGCGCGTACATATGTACATAAATAGGTATATATATATATACAATCATAACGTGTAGCATGGAACAGGTGTTAATTGTTGTGGAATGTTGCGTTTTATAATAAATAAATTTTGCTATTTCTGAACATTCACCAACTCTTTGGGGATAATTAAGAAAACTCGTCATTGAGAGGCATTGGAAATTATATTTCATAATGCAAACATAAAATACGCTAAGAAATATCGAGTTATCTGCTTATACATATATATAAAAACGCCACTGCAACAAAAATAAATTACAATAGCACTTCCGCCTGGTCTAAATATCATTAACCGCAACTGTCAATAAAAAAAGTATATGAAAGTATGTAACTGCATATGTATGTGCATCTGCATTATATGAATCTTCATACAAATTGCATGCAATCATACATATACATTACTGCATATATAAATTTATTTCGTTTATTGTTCATATCCCTATATAAACAATTTCAACAATGTAGTCCATATATGTACATATACATATACATATGTATTTAGTTACATATGCAATCAAATTATTCACCATATTAACATGCATACATACACATACGCAATAAGTGAGAAATACTGAGGAAAAATGAGTTCAATTCAATTACGAGCAATGCATGCATGCTGCTGATAAGGAAGCCAGTAATGACACCGAGGCAAAGTTCTAAATAAGTGGGCGTCCCGATGTTGGTTGCCCTTAGACTTGATGTTCAAGGCGCATACATAGTACCCAGATGCAAAAATATGTACAAAACAATATGCGCACAACAAATAATTTAACAATTGAAATTCAAAAGATTTTAGAATGCAATTTTGAACATAAAATTAATGATTGTTGCATTCACTTTCGATTATTATCGATTGCTGTAGTAAACGAAACGCAACTAACTTCACTTATCACTAGAATAAAGTTTATTTAAGAGAATATTATATTGGATTTTTATCAAATACAAATTCAAGTGAAATTTATAAATTAATTAACGTTATTCGCGCGATTATAAATATTTATTTATTATTACGAATATATTTAAAACGAACGAGATGAGAGATTACAGACAATAGCTATTACTTTTTAATATTTGTATTTACTTTATTTTGCTTATTCTATTTTTCGTATGCTTATCTGTCTAAATTGGCTTTTAGACACTTCCATTTGCATTATATTTATATATTTTTTTCCAACTCAGCTTTGATTTTGTCATTTACTGTGTCACTATTGCCCAAGCATTCTTATCAATTTAAATTTACTTATATTTATACTTGAACGAATTACAAGAGAGATCCGTTGCTAAGGCAACGGGAAGTCGTAAACAACACTTGACTTCAGACAAATGGATGTTTTGCTTCATACTTTATTCATGCTGCTTGGAATTTCCCGAGTGCCGACAAGCATTATTAAAACCAAAAATCAACTGTAAAAATTCCAAAAAAAATTTTATCTCTAGTTTAATCAATAAATTTCTCGTATTCTGAGTTAATATGTATCAATTTTCACTAGTAGTCCGTTATCTTTTACTAATGAGATAGCCACAACAATACGTATGTGAATGTAAGTATGTATGTATGCATCCCTTATTGTTTTTCTTTTACATAAATTTTCTCATTGTTTATTATTTTCTAATTTATTTGCGACGTAAATACTCTCATTGTTTTTATCTAAACGCTTTGTTATTGATTCTTCAATCTGATATCTGAAAATTTTGTAATTTTTCGTACTTTCTTCTTGTCTCTTATTTATTTATTTTTTTCAGCATTTCTTGTTGTTTGTTCGCCCCTTTGGTCTCGTCTTTTATCGAATAATTGTCTGTCAAGCGTCTAACAGTTTACTCTTTGAATCTATTTTGAATCAAAGTTGTTAGTTCTCATTATTGCAAACGCGCTTATTCAGCTGTCAAGCTTAAGTCGCTTAATGTGTTAGCAAGGCGCAGCTTGTACTTTTCGCTCCCTTACAAATCAGAAGTTTTTTGCTACTTTTTTCCTCTTACTCTGCTTCTCTTACTGTCCGCCAACCTACTTATTTGATAGCGCAACCACATTCCCTCCCTAGTGACCTGCTTGACGCTGCGGCATTTAAATGGACTACGTGAAAAGTTTGCGCTGCAGTCAAACTCCTGGTCGATACTGCGGCTTGCGACAGTGAAACATTAAATTGGCTTTTTACTACCTTTGTTTCTTTAAAACTGTAGCGAAGATGGAAATTATTGCCTCCATTATTGCAACTACCAATACCCTTTGAGTATCTAGAATTTGTAAATACCAATTGAAAATCTTCTACTTTGTCAATGCAGTAATTCAAATTTAAAACATTACAAGTTGCATAATATGCACTGATTGCTTAATAAACATGGCTCAAACACCGCTCCACTCATTTGCCAAGCGCACGTGTTTGCTCTGCCTTCATCGCTGCTGCATTCCGTCCGCTCGACGCTTACGCCACTGTCAAACGCACGGACACTTCTCATCTAAACACTTCTAAAAGATGTATTACGTTTGTCATTAAGAAGCTAATAAATAGAAACAGAGAAAAAGAAATAGAAGAATAAATAAAATAACGCAAATAAACGTCTATGGGTGAATTACAATTTCAGAGCATGGTAAGTATGCAAAGTGGTCGTTAAGCACGTAGGAAAATACTTACACACAATTATGTCATTTGAAAAATGTATGCATGTATGTACATATGCACTTATATGGATAAAGTCACGATTGATATGGGCGTTTCAAAAGACCTGGTGGTTGACTACTGGCCTTTACTTTGCCTTCTGCATACCAATAAGGTAAGATTTTGATTTTTTCACCCGACGCAGTCAACTTACACCGCAGGGCAGTGAGATGGTTCTAAGTGTGACATTACTACGTAAAATAAATGGAATAAAATGTAAAAATGTATGCTGAAAATGAAGAAAATGCGGTTGGAGTTATGTTTGAACGTAAATTATAGATCATTGGATAAGTTAAGCCAGAAAAAATGTCGAACCTTAAGTCTGAAATCGTCACTAATAAGCATAAGTCCCAAATAAACCTTTCGATCTCGAGTTCATTCAAGTTTATGAGTTTGGTTTGCTCAATAATCTTACTTATCGCATGTCGCATCGCATGCAAGAAGAAATTGTTAAGATCAGATAAAGAGTTTTATCTATCTTAAAAGAGAGTAGCGTTTGAGTTTACTGTACCCTCCTTGTTAGTCAGTGGTGTCCTCGGTTTACTGCTCTCTTCAAGCTTATCTTCGCCCCTCTAGAACACCAAACGTCTGAAAATTTGCATTCTTTCTGCAACTCATTAAACTGCATTTGCACACGCCTGCACGCCTGCGCACGAAATGTTCACATTACGTATGTATGTATGTATGTACATGCAGCTCCGACTTAAACCATTTCACTCTACCTCTGCTGTAATAGCTGTTGACGACATTATGGCTGATCGTGCCACACACTCGACACCTACGCGTCGCGCGTATTCATTATCAACCGCAAAACGAGCCGCGTACGCCTGCGTAAAAGTGAAAAGTGACAAACAGTGTGTCAATGTCAACGACAAAAATGTGCACACGTGTGTTTTCACAATGATATATCTGCATATGTATTTATATATAACGCACACTTCATATTTAAGCTATTCATTTTTGTAAATATGTATGTGTAAGCGAGCGGCTCCCCAGCCTCTACCACTTTGCATGCATAATGCCAAAGGCAGCATAGACGAAGCGATGCCAAAAGATAACTTACATACATACATATGTACATACCGCTACACTGACTCGCTCGTGCGCCGTGTTTTATTGACATTTTACTGTGTAAATTGATGTTTCAAGAGACAACGTCATTAGCAAGTTGCCAGCTTTGCCCTTTGTTTGTCTGTTTGTTTATGCATATGGAGCCGTTACAGCCAAGGTGACTTCAGCGTCGCCATCGGTATTGCTGTCTGTGTGTCGTGGCACGTTTTGTTTATTGTTGTTGTTGTCTCCTGTGTACTTTATTATCATGATTTTAGCAACTGTTTATTGGTTTTTCATGCCCGCAACACATTTCCAATATGCACGGGCCAAATGGAAAACG